TCCTTGTAAAAGTCCAAGATATGTAAGCTTATTGAAGCGCTTTGGCGAATCAAGCGAGTGATCAAACTGCCGAACGGTCTAACCTGCAATACAAGGAAATCGAATGAACTGGCCGGCCAAATGGCAACTATCACCGGCTAACTGACTTCCTAACTAACACCGTAACGAAGCACTGTGTTTAGTGTTGCACTTGGTTCGCTTGGTTGCTGGAAAAGCGCTACTAATGCGCGCGCATGCGCACCACGATGCGAATTTCTCCATAAAAAGGCATTACTTAGCTGGCCATATTTAGCTGCATGCTGTTGGTCAAGTTGGCGATAATGAGCACTAAAGACCCCACCAGCCATGAGACAATAAAGCTGCGCTGCGCTGCGCTATGCTGTTGTTGTAGAAGGCGCAATGTTGCAAGACTTGTTGCAGCAGTTGACCGAAACGCCTCTATTTATATGGCAGTTAGCTGTGCACGTATCTATAACAAATATATGTACATATAATGCTCGTATAAAAATATGTATGTATATATATATATATAGAGTAGGTATGTTGTTTTCGCCTTACTCGCCAAATCACATTGAAAGTATTTAGCATTACTTAATCATAAATTCTGCAAATTGAAAACATAAATTCCTTACTGTGTTTGAGCGTTGCGATTAATCGCTTAATCAGCGCCCTTTCGGTATAGAGCAACAACAAATGAATTGCCAACATAGAGATGAGCTTAAGCCACTCACTTAGTACTTCTGCTAGACATACATAAATAGTTAAAGCGATTTGTGCGAATGCCTACAGCTGGCATACATACATACATACCTACATAGGTAATGCTTTTGCGCTTGAATCGGTAGTAGATACGCTACCGTTTTAGGTATTGTGCAGGTGTAAAAGGCGGCATTTGAGTGCTATTTTTTTTCTATCGCTTATCTAACACTTAGCGCACTCAGCAGTGCCAATCTAAGTCCATCATTCACTTCCATCAGCTTTTGGTTAATGTGTATGCGTGCTTGTCACAGCTGCAATTGACACTAGCGCAAATACCAGCGGGGATTAGTTGCCTTTACTGAAATCGCTTAACTTAGCGTAGATGGCTTCATTCAGGTGTATTTAGTCTGATTGTATTCGCAAGAGTAGCGAGTTTTGAATAAGATCTCATCAGCGATCTACAATTATATATACATACACTAAAAGTATACAATTTCACGCGCGTGTGTGTGATAATCTACTGCTGGACCAGTTATCAAACACAGTCGGCCAGCTGCATGAGATTAATTGACAGACACAGGTGTGTTTTGACAACTAAAACAAAAAATTTATAAAATGTGTCATAAAATAATATTGTAATCGTGAGTTTTTATATACATATGCACATATTTAAGCCTTAAGTTGTTCATATGTAAGTATGTATTTAACATTTCCAATGCTTATTTAAATTCATTTAATTAATTAAATGCTTTAGTTTTTTTTTTAGACTTTCTGTTTGCACCTTACAGTAGCCAAAATATTTTATAAGAACGAACGAGCTTTGCGCCTAGGAATGCATTGGCTATTTATTTGTGTAACATATGAAAATAAGTCATAAACCCATCCAAAGGAGAAATGAAGGTCAACATTTTTTATATAGACTAGTAATTTTTAGCAAAAAAAAAACCGACTTCAACTCCCATATAAAAAAATATATATATATATATAT